GGGGGATGTGTGGTTTGTGTGCAGTCAGCAGGATGGAGAGAATTGATTGTGCATTAAAAGAACTGTTCAAATGGTGATGCCACACATGCACACCCTCTGCTGTCTTCACAGAGCCCCCTGTGCCAACCATCGCTCTTGTTAAAGGATGATTTCCAGCTGTTTGAATTCGCTTCTCTCTCTCTCACACACACACGCGCACACACACATGCGCACACACACACACACGCATGCGCGCACACACACACGCGCACACACACACGCACACACACTACCCTTCAGGCTCGTACAAATGAAGTCACATCACAACCTGCACACCTTCACTGTGGGTTCAATAGCATGGATCAATGTGATTTGATTGAGTGGGGCTGCCTTGGGTTGGAGTCAAAATGACAGATGAGCTAGCCATAGGCAAATGAAGGTCAGACAGGTGAATTGGATGTCTGTGTGGGTAGGCAGGGGTGGGTGTGTGTGTCCAGAGAGCACACACTGACACCAAGGGAGGGCCAGAATATCAAATCTCAGCTTCATTGTAGTTGCAGGCTTGGCACTCCATCCATCAGTGTGCCCATCGCAGCATGGCACAGGGCACAGCACTGTCTGACTGACTGCCATGGGAGAAGCCCCCCGGCATCAGTCTGAATCTACACACCGTCCTCATGTTAGCGCAGTCCTGTGGGAGCCTTTATATCAGTTACTTAATGCGCAGTGTACCGTACAGAAAAAGCAGCCCAAAAAAGTGGTTCTTCAAAGATTCCTTAGCAAAGGTTAGGGCTGCATCAATAATGATACAAATAATGGTTGCATAACTTGGTCTAGCAGCCAGTTCCTTCATTTGAGCCGAAAAATCTGCTTAACCACAACTGCTGACAGTGTGAATGACTAGTAATATTCACTAAACTCCTGCAGAGTTGGAAGCTCTGAGATGTTATCAATATATTGTTCAGTTTTATTTTTAACTATTTTGCACAATAAAAATATTTCACATTTATTTCAGTTGTTAAATATGGTTCTTATGAGTAATTGTACAGTAGTAAATGTTAAGGTTCTAATTTTATATAGTAAATAAAGTATCCAAAACATACATACATATACATACATACACATACGCACACACATATACATCTCTACCTATCTATCTATATATATAGACACATGTATACACACACACACACACACACACACACACACACACACACACACACACACACCATTTCATACATCTATACATCAGCTTTACGCTGATGTTTACAAGAAGACGGCTGTTTAGATTAATTAGCCTTCTGTATTGGTCATGATTCATGTGCGTTAAAACATAATGTATCAAGAAAGTAAACAGTAACGAGGTAAAGTATAGATCAGTGGTCCGAGCTGAACACTCAAAGAACCCTTTGCATGATTAATGGGTTCTTTGCGTCATGAAATGGTTCTGTGAATGGTTCTATGTAGCACCATTTTGAAAAGGGCTCTATATGACACCAAAAAGGGTTCTGCTATGACGACAAGCTTGAGATTGTAACAATAGCAAAACCATTTTCAGTGCTATATAGAACCCTTTTTAAAACAGTTCCATACAGAACCATATACAGCACATTCTCCATCAATCTGAGGAACCATATCATGATGCAAAGAACCCCATGCAAAGGGTTCTGTGAGTGTTCATGGTTCTACATAGAACAATTTTCTTTAGTAAAGAATCCTTGAAGATCCATATTTTTTAATAGTGTACCATACAGGTACACTTAGTAGTTCTATAATTATAGACTGTAGTCCATCTGTTGCTTTGCGTATTTTGTTAGCACCCTTTTATTCTTGTTCTTCAATGGTCAGGACCCCCACAGGACCACCACAGAGCAGGCATTATTGGGTGGTGGATGATTTTCAGCATTGCAGAGACACTGATGCGGTGGTCGTGTGTTACCATGTGCGTTACACTAGTACGCATGGATCAGACACAGCAGCTCTGTGAAACAGAGTGTCCAGAGCAACAGATGGACTACAATCTGTAATTGTATAACTACACAGTGCACCTATATGGTGAATGTTTGTGCACCGAAAGGCAGAAAAACCTGTCAGCTTTGCCTAAACAGCTTAAACACACACACACACACACACACACACACCAGCGTTCAATCCCAGTGCAAATAAGCACTCATTAGGACTCTTAATGGTGTGTGCCGGCAACAATGTGACGTCTCTCTGATGCTGCATGTATGAGGTAATTTGATCTGTTCTGTCATTGGAGCTTTGAACAATGTGTTTAAAATGGAAACTTATATCACAATAATGATGAAAATATGATTTATCATGTAGCCCTAATGTACACACACCAAGTGTGCAATCAATTAATATTATTATTAGTAGTAGTGGTAGTAGTAGTGGTGGTAGTAGTAGTAATAGTAGTAGTAGTAGTAGTAGTAGTGAAGGTCATAAGTCTGGGCCAATGCTGTCTACCAACCAAACGCTCGGGCCCTACTGAGTAGATTTTTCATGATGGATTTACATTTGTTTCTAAGCTCTCGTAGTCAATATCCATCAAGGTGCTAACTCTTCTCCTTGCAACCCTTGAACAAAATAATTGCTTCTTTATTACATTTCCTTGAAAAGCACTCATCAAAGAGACTACTTAATTCTCATTCCGCCCCTTTCTACTAGCCTTCATGCCAGAGCACAGATGTAACAGGTGGCCAAACCATTGAAGACTGCATGTATGAGAGGGGACGCTGAGGTCAATCAATAAAATAACTCATTCACGTCTTTCTCGTTTTCCCATTTTAATTTCAAGATCCCCAAATAAGGGCTCAGACAGTGATGTACGATTTGCTGCTTCTCTGTTTCAGCTCTGATTTAGCCATACATGCAAAAGAGAAAAGGAGATCATCCAAGACATGTTTGGTGTTCTTTAGATTTGCAGTGGAGCTACAAGGCTACTGCAGCTAAAAATGAATGAAAGCTTATATACGAAAACATTACATTATGCAAACTATACATCTAAATATTCCCACTCTTGCCTTAATGTTATATAGCTTAAAAACAGCAGTAGTAGCCACTCTGAAGGCAGAATTTTGTTTGTATGTGTCTATTTTTTATTACAATTGTTATACAGTATCAGAAACCACAAAGGAAAAACTATTTGAGATTATTTAACAGCTTGATGCTGTTTGAGGCAAGTGTGTGATGATTTAAGGTTTATGTAATGCTTCTGTTACATGGTAGCTTCATTAGTCTCGTAGCTCTAGTATAAAACTAAAGAAGCAAATTTCAGACATCAAATACGCCTCTGTTTATCAGCTGCTTTTGGGTAAATGAGATTTTTCAAACACTCTCTGGTAAACTGCACAACAAAACCAGCCACACAAAACAAGGCTAAACAGCCACAGAACAGGAGAAACCGAACACGTGCTGAATGATTTTTGGTCACGGTGGAGTGCAGCCGAGTTTCATTATGCAGCACCTGGTTTATGGAGTCGGAGAGAGGAGACACTGACTTTTTCGAGGCAGCTACGAGAGCAGCCGCTGGCACAGAGAGGATTTAAAGGTCAGGCAGGCTCCAAGACAGCCGAAGTTCTTCAACAGCGGAGAGAGAATAAACTGCTCATCTCCCCATGTTCCACAGATTAAAATTTCACAAACACTGACATCTAGGTAGAAATCCAACTGTGCTACAAGAGCACATAAATAAGACACAGTGACTTAGTGAGAGCAGGTCAGTCCAAGAGAAGGTCAGTCTGCTTCCTGAGAGGATGTGTGCGAGGATTAGGGCCTAGCCAATATGAAAACCGTCTCCGATACTCATTTTAAGGAGCTAAAAATGCAGATATGTGCATTCAGACCAATTTTGATGTTCACATATCCATAAGAGCTAATGAATGGTCATTTGGTTAATGCCGGGGGAAAAAGAAATAAACCAACACAAAACTAAACAAACAAACTAAATACAAATACAGACTTCAGTCAAAATTAACATATGGCTGTTGGCTTACTCTTCTAGGAGGCTAGAAGGCAGTAAAGTTTAGCAGCAGGCAGAGACTGAGGAAAAATGTGAAAAAATTTAGTAGGTTTTTGTGTTGGATAAGTAACTGAGACTGCCCCTTCAGATGAACTACTGAGCTGTTAGAAGCAACGGACAATGCTAGATGTTGATGAGGACTTGTCTTCTAGACAAAGTCTTTTTCTCTTTGTCAGAGATGTGTTTTCACTGTTTCTAGGAGCCCCCAGACAGTCCACATGTTTCCTCTCAACCTGTGTGTTGCTAGGTGGGTTGGAGCAAAAATCATCAAAAATCTAAAATCGGGAGGGTCCCTGAGGACAGATTTGAAAAGCACTGAACTAGAGTTGTTAACCAGTTAGCACAAAAACAGCACTATAGCTCATCTCTGCCTTCTCAACTGTGTCCTTAAGAATGCATCCCTGGCAATACACTCACATTAAGACACTTGCGTTTTAAAGTAGCAAAGTGTTATATAATACACTCAGCCACAAACACAAGCAAAACAGACAGTTACAGTACTGTTAAAATCAGGGTTTCTCTGAATTGCAAGCCTGTATGTTTTCTCAGATTTCTTATTGTTTTATCATTTCTCTTCACATAAAGGCTTTCTGTGTTTTAATAAGGTATCTTCAAGCTAATGATTAGGTTTGGATTTGGATGCAATTATGTAAAATGTGTGTTTTGTTATTTTGATCATGGTGGTGTTCTATGCAGTTAAGCCAGTACAGCAATAAAAGTAAATATCCTCCTCTTGATACACAAGTAAGTTCAAGTAATAAGACATCAAATGAAAATCATCAATAGCTATTAAACTGCATAAAGATATTCACAAATGAAAGCATCAAAGCCTGCTTTGCATTTAAGCACATGAGCAAGCCACCTGCAGAGCCACATCGCAAGAAAACATTTCAGTGTAGACTGATCAGCATGTGGCAAGAACGTGTATAGTGTGGGTGAGATAAAACTCACAGCTAGATTGTTTGAGTTGTAATGACTGAACTGGTCTACTCACCGAGAGAAGCTTCCATGTGATGGGACGAACTTGCCGTGGAATTCCAGACCAGCTCAACTTCCGCAGCTCCTCTACAGGGGAGACAAAAAATATATACAGAGCTGTAAATAAATATTTGCTCCTCACCCGATTTCTTCTCACTAATTTGTCACATTTAAATGTTTAAGATCATCCAACTAATTTTAATATAAGATGAAGACTACACGAGTAAACACAAAACGCAGATTTACATGATCATTCCATTTACTCAAGATTAAATGTAAAACATTAATTTCCTTCTAAACCAAATAACTTGGCCACTCCAAACCCTAATTTTGTTTCTTTTGAGGTGGACTTGCTTGTGTGCTGCAGATCATTGTATTGTTGCATAACCCAACTGTGCTTGAGCTTTAGCTCAGGACCCATGTCTTCCAAAGTTCTACCTTTGACTCATCAGTCCACAGAATATCGTCCCAAAAGTCTTGAGGGTCATCTAAATGTTTTTTGGCAAACATAAGCCTGTGTTCTTTTTGGTCAGCAGTGGTTTGTGTCTTGCAACTCTCCCATAGATGCCATTTTTGCCCAGTGTCCTTCTTACTGTGGAATTGTGTACATTGACCTTAACTGAGGCAAGTGAGGCCTGTAGTTCTACATATCTTTGTCTGGGTTCTTTTGTGACCTTCTGGCTGAGTCGTCGATGCGCTCCTGCTGAAATTTTGGTAGTCCACCACTGTTCCAAGTTTTCTCCACTTATGGATAATGGCTCTCACCGTGGTTCGCTGAAGTGCCAGAGCCTTTGTAACCCTTTCCTTGTTTCGCATCTGTATTTGAATCTCTTTAGAACGTGGCATCACATGCTGCGGTTTGAGACCTTCTAGCCTGCTTCACATTGCCAGACAGGTTCTATTTAAGGGATATTTAGGTTCAACAGATCTGGCAGTGATCATGCCTGGGTGCAGTTAGTGAAATTAAACACAACAGTCGACCAAATTTGGTTAACTGGTTGATTTAGTCGCTAACGGCACAATCACTTTTTTCACACAGGGCCAGGCAGGGCTGAACAGCATTTTTACTTCAATTAATGAAATCTTCATTTAAAAACAGCCTTTTGTGTTAACTTGGGTTATCTATGTCTAATATTAAAAGTAGTTTGATGATCCAAAACATTAAGTGTAACAAATATACAAAAAAATGAAGAAAGTTTTTCACAGCACTAGATATGTATCATATCAATACTCAAGTTACACAAGGTTTTCAGTCTAACCCAACATATTTCATTCATAGACATTATAAACCCATGGACAAGAGCTCTAAAAAGCACTAAATTGTGCTGTACAAATTTCTAAGAATGTGTTATATTTATTTGTGATATACTTGTCATTACATTTCAAGAACAACATTAAAAGTCTTCTCTTATGACAAGATCTGTTGGTAGTGCATTTGTGCAGCTGTTTTTTTCAACATTAACACGTTAAAATTAGAACTAATTTTAAAATTCAATTAAACAGAAGCTTCAAATTATTTAAAGGGTCCATATCAAGGAAAACTGACCTATCTTTGCTTTTTTTTTTAATAAGTATGTAAACATTGCTAAAATTTCAAAAGATTCTATTCACTCTCCAACCCAATGACACCATGGATACTAAACAAAAACAAAAACAGCCTGTTTTGATTTCACTGTTAAGTTAATCAATACATTCACATATATTTTCCTATTCAGCCTACACCAGTTTAGCCCTGCCTGTTCATGCTAAAGTTATAAGGACTGTTTCAGCCTGCACTGCTTTTTGAATGAGGCTCAACACAAGGCAGTCATTTAGAAGAGAGGCAATTGACATATCAGTCTTAAAGGCACAGCAACAAAAATAGCCTTTTTGATATTAGAAGACAAATAGTGGAATTAAAAGGGTCATGTAAAAATAACTATAACTGTGTTTGGTTCATAAAACCACACAAATGTTATAAATGGAGCTCGGGGAAAATATAAAAAGCAAGAAAAATGTAGCACACAAGCCCTTTAATAATTTTTTTGTCTGTCATTAATGGCATTCTGACCATGCTTTTGCTTAGTAGCGAGAACATCAAAGCTATTTCTGAACACAAGAGCGAGCGTGACCTAATTACAGCCCTTACAGAGGGACGTCTAATGGCAGAGAAACTGCATGAAACAGTACATAATCAATGAATATTTTAGTTGAATTATTAACAAAAATTAGCCAATCACCAAAACTTGTACTCACTCGAACTAATTTTATTATGGTAAAAACTACCATTACTGTGAATGAAACATTTTCGCAAGAAGTGCAAGAAGCCATACAGTTTAGAGCATGGACAAGAAAACACAAGATGTCCCTTAAATAAAAACTTTGTTCCATGTTGAAAAGGCAAAGTGTGAGACCTGCTTGATTTTTTTATGACCAAAATGTAAAAGCAAGTTGAGGAAATGCAAGCAAGGTCTACTTCATTTATACCTCATTCATTATTTCCAGTGGCAATTTATTTGCAGAGCCACTCGAAGGTAGAAACTATTAACAGTCAGCCTGCTCCATGAAAAAATTCCTAACAAATCCAGCCTCAATCTTGAAACTCGTATTTGTGTATTGCATTGTCTCACACGTGTTACAAGAGCAGGGCAACTCATTTGAGCTTAAATGAGGAAGCAGAGACGAACAGCTCTTTGTTTACAAAAAATATATTATGCATTTCTGACTTCATTTTCCTGCTTCTTATTCAGCACTCTCATTGAGAACTGGTACATAAACGTAGCACCTTGATTAGCTGCACAATACAGCCACTCTGAGCCAAAAGAAGATGGGATTCTGTGTCAATAACAAGAAATATCTAGACACTGAAAATAGGCTACAAACTGCATTTTCTGAAAGCTATGGTTATAAGAGCATATGCATTCATACTGAACTATTTGGTGCAGGCCACTCTAAACTGAATCAATACAGCATTCACCAATTCCACATTCCAAAGATGACATGAGCCTGGCTATGCAAACAGATTTCAGACACTGCTGATAACCAAGCTGATAAGCAAGGTCTACTTGCTTCTTGATCTGATCATATTTAATTACAGTCATTCAGTCTTGGGAAAACTAGACAACCTGGCAAATTTGATGGGTATCAGTCACATTAAGCCTAATCCAATTCCCATCCCTTGTTTCTTTTTGTGCTCTATTTACACCATGGTCATAGAGGTCCCATAAACAGACGTTTTCCACAACCTGCAGTAGTGTGGCATGTTTTAAAAATTTAAAGTTTAGATGTTTGCACTGTGAAACTATTTCACAGTAGAATAAAAAAAACTTATATCTAAACATGAGCCTGTAAAATGTGAGTGTGCTTCTATTACACTTCGAGTCTTTCTGCTGTTTGTCATGACTGCCATTCAGCTAGAAGCATGTACACTTGTTTTTCACTCGAGTCACAACTACTTAAAAATGAAAGCCTCACACTAATGACCTGCCTCACCAACCGCTTCTGGTTCAAACCAGTATCTGCACATTCAAAATGTTGTTCAGAATGGTTATTTCACATCAGAGGTCTACAAATAAACAAACGTTCAGCAAGTATGCCACTATGCACTTATAGAAAATAAAGTGTTGTCAATGCACAATATTAAAGTAACTGTAATAACTATAATGAAAATTCATTAAAGTAAACAGCGCATGGCTACTGCAGGTTTGTAAAGTATATAAATAAAACATTAAAAAAGTAGGTCTTTACTATGTTCAAATTACTGCCGCACCCTCAGCACCCCCACTTCCTATGTCCCTGTTGCTAACTGAAGCTATACTTATGCAAATTCTGATAATGAGTCAAATTTGCAGTAGTGAAGTCCAGCGATTGGTGCTATAAAGGCCTACAGCCTATTAGTTAACCTAAAGGTTAGCTTAAAACGCAGGCCACACAGCACAGTACAGGTTTGTTTCTGACTAACTGACACAAGTGTAGAATATAAAAACTCATGTCTGCAAGACCGAAGCTGAGTGCCCGGTGGGGGCCTGACAGGAAGCTGAAACAACAGCTTATTTAACATGGCAAAAGTGCTACACACTACAGTACAGGCTCAGTTCCAACGAAGTGATGTTCAAATGACACATGATGAGATAACAGAAAATAGTTTTTATGGTCCTGATTTGGCAGCACATCAGATGGTAAAAAAAACATAAGAGGCATGATACAGCCATGGGAACCAAACTGTGATGTGACTAGAGGCTGCTTAATTTTTAAATGGGAATGCATGTTAGACGTGTTTCCTAGTGATGGAGAGTAGACTCTAGAACAGTCGATTCATCAACTACAACATGCAGGACTCCTGGCCAACAACTCTGCCTGGTGTCGACTCTGCAACTACTTCAAACAGATTAAGAGGCAAGAGACTCAACCAGGACATCCCTAAGCATAACCTGAATAAATGCTGATTATCTGGAATCACCTAATGAATTGATATATCTACAACAATAGATGTGTTGAGAAGCACATGAAAAAAGTTTTGCTACAAAGAAAAGCAGCTACTGGTCATTCATTACAGCTGCAACTTCTAAGGCTTTAAAAAGGATTTTCAAACAGGAACTTGTTTTCTCTGTTCTGATACTGAAAACACACTGAACCATGAATGGCACTGCACGCTGATCCAAGTTTAGTGAACCATTACACCTTTACTGAAGACAGAGAATGATGGTTCTGTCAAACGTTCTGAAAGTGTAATCCATTTTTCTCATTACCAGCTATACAAGTGTTGTTGAGTTACAGGCTTAATCTCTCCACTGAACCTCTGTACACTCTCACTGAGAGGAACCTGTAAGGCATCTACGAGTCCTAGCCTTTAAAAGCATGGGTTTATTTAAAAAACTGAACAAAAACAAAATCCATGTGTTTTGTCAGGTCTCAACTGTCACTCAAAATTTTAAAAAAGAAATAATAAAATGCAAATAAACTGCAGAATCTCACAAAGCCTTAAACTATGTTTTTACTAATATAAAATAATTATATAAGTGGAATTTTATGAATATTTGGACTTACAGAAACCTGTTGAGTTGTTAGGTAAGATAACTACTATTGGAAGTGTTAAGTACTATACAGTC